AAATCTGCGGATTTATCAACATCAAGTTCGTAAACAAAACCAAATTCTTGTTGGCAATTCTATAATTTAATTATGTATGATCAAAAAATTATGAAAAACCTTTTCCTTGTTTTTGCTTATATTCTTTTTCTACCCTATTTCGGGAATGACTTGTACCGCATTCTGTCTATAGTCAAGAGATCATGAGCTCGAATCCTCTATTTGTACTAAAAATAAAATACATCTAAATATGCTTGTCAAACACAAAATATTTAATTACATATATTCATAACAAGTAGCATAGTTTAATACGATTATCGTGTAAACAACGGTGGTTTTTTCTTAATTTTACAATCTATTGTCGTTGAGTTATCTTTTTATATATACTAGTAAGAAACACGTGCGTTGCACGTAGAATCTTGTAGTTCTAAATTAAAGTAAAACAAATAGTGTTTTTTAAGTTTATAATATTATCATTTTAAAGAAAGAAAGTGATTATATATAAATATAAATTCAAAGTATGATATTGTTGTAATAAAAGAAGATGATGAAATATTAGCATGGAAAGTAAGTACAAATTTGAGGTGTAAGAAAGATGAAAAAGCACCAACGTGCAAGTTTTTGTTTTTGTTTTTAATGAATCAACGTTCTTAATTTACCTCTAATTTTCTTGATTATAAATTATTATATTACATTTTATCTTTGTTAAATTGTGTGACGTTAAATCAGTGAGTTTGTTCATCTAGAATGAAAAAGAAAGGTAAGAGTGAGAGAAAGAGTAAATCCTAAAAGGTCCAACCTGATGATATTGAGAGGGATAAAAATTGTTTGTTTGCCCGTAAAAATAATTACAACATTTCACATATATAAATCAAAAGCATCAGTTTAAAAAATAAAAATAAAAATCAAACTCATAAGCATTCTTATTATCCAAATTATGAGAATAATCGAATTTTGCTTTATCTCGATTCCATCGACCACCATCTCGACACATCGTACTCTAGAATTTCTTTCAACCTAAACAATGATAAATTTGGGGAAAGTGAACCGATACCATCAACTCAGCTTTAATTTGGTTTCTCTTCACTATGAATTCTCCTCTCGATCACCCATATGTGCATTGTTGTTGTCGTTGCTAAAGCAAGAGAGTAATTTTCATACCTTCACACCACTTGGAAAATTTTCCACTTTGTTCCATCCATCACCTTTTGATTTTTGGTTGGCATGAGAAAGAGAGGACACATATTTATATATGGATTGGAAGGAGATTAGAAAGATGAAAGGATTAGGAGAGGGTATGTGATAATTGGAAGGGGGTTAGGAAGATGAAAGGATTGGGTGAGGGTATGTGGTAAATGAAAGGAGTTAAAAAAAAATCAATGAGAAAGATAAAGTTAATGAAAGAATAATTAAGAGAGAGAAAATTACTAAGAGAAAATAGGGAAATTTAGAGGGATGAGATTGTGATGGAGAGAAGAGATAAATTGAGAGAGATAAAGTTTGTATTTAAATGACACAATTGCCATCAAAAGAAAAGTGAACAGAGTTATAATGAGAAAACAAAAATGGTATATAGAAGTTTCTCCTCGTCCCACCTTTTATATATACTATAGATTACAGCAAATATGAGGATGAATGATTGAACCTTGACCTATAAAAATAAGCGAAATCCCCGTTAAGTTATGTTTATATTACCAGTTACTTTTATATGTTGCTAAACCTTTATCAAATATTTTTTTGATTATAGAGTACATGAAATTATTAAGAGATGAAATACCATAAAGTACAAAGACTATTCGGGAGCCTTTAAAAAGATAAAAACATATTTTAGTATAATAAATGAGGATGGGATTGAAACTTGCATTATAATTAATAAACAATGAAGCTTTATTTATGTTGGTTATTCTACTTATCGTATATAGTTTTGATGGCAAGCTTTTAAATTTTGTAATTAAAAATAACTCAAAAAAATTGAAGGACTATTTTGACAATTCACACGAATAGTAATAGAGAATTTCGTGCACAATTGTCCCACGTTGAAAGACTTGTAAATTAACACGATTTCAAAAGTCAAACTTCTATTTTCCTTATCCCAATAATATTTGTTTATATAACCAAAAATTCTATGGGAAAAGTAAATAAAATATGTGGAAGAGAATTTTTAAATACGTCATGGACAAAGTATCCTCGATCGTATTCAACCTAGCATGTGTACAAAAAATTTTAATTTTTATTAAATTAATATTTATTAATATTTCATGAAAATTAAAGTAAAAGATTGATTTCGAACCAATCAATAACCACATAACATTCAACAAATAAAAAATAAAAAACTCAAAATAAAATAATATACACGTCATAATCTTATCATGACAATATCTAAAAGAGGCATAAGATTTTCATAAATATTATAATATCTATTTATAGCTAGAATGAAAGACTAAATTACAAATTTAATTTAATTGGAGTATTATTTAAATAAAAGTTCAAGTTTTTTTTTCATGAGACACGTAGGGTTGGAGGTTGAACCTCGAGTTTTTTTTTTTTTAATATAATATTTTAATAAGTTGAATTATACTCAACTTGCTATATAAGTTCGAATTATTTTTATAATGTAGCTTTAAAATTGAAGGTCTAAAAATGTAAGATTGATAACTAAATATAAAAGTAATATATATGCATGATTATATCATATAATGGAAAATAACAAAAAGACAAAAAAGGAAAAAAGACTTTTTGCTTTCAAGTTTCCAGTTTCCATTTTGTGACGCCACAGTTTCTTTTATTTCTTTTCCTACGCAACTGTTATTTTTTATTTATTTATTTTTGTATTATTATTCTTTTAAATCTCCGGTTTAGATAGTCAGGATTTTCGATTCGGTTCAAGTATTGTATTTATTCTATTCAATGTATATTTCAGTTCTCCAATTTTCAAATAATATGGTTTGATTATGTTTAAAGTAAAAAATAAAAATAATTATAATTGAATCTTTATTTTTTTTATTACCACATGTGGAGTGGGAGATCGAACTCACAACCTGTTAGTTGGAGATATATATCAATTAACACTGAGTTATATTTTGACGGATCATTAACCAATTATATATTATATTTTATGTCAATCAACTTTTAATTTTTTATTTAATTTATAAAATTTATAAAAAATATTTAGTTTTTATTGTAATTTTTTAAATTAATAATTTAATAGTGGCTGAAGTACAATTAAGAATCTAATTTTTTTAGTTTTTGAACCTTCTTGAACATATTGAATCCTACTATGTATTGGTGATGAGTATTTTACGCAGCTTGAACAGTAAAGTCTTGTTGAAATACTCATAAATGAATTAAATTTACTTAACCTATTAGCTTAAACTTTTGAGTTTAACAGTGAGACTCTTCTCATATTGTCCATGTGGAAAATTTGTTTTGTCCCAGACAAAAAAGTACAATTGAAAATTTAAACCCTACACTTGATCCATAGGTAATTTAAAACTTTTCAGGTAGATGTTAGTTTTTCATGTTTATTAATTTTCTCTTTTTATTTTTTTCTATTAGTTTTAAACTATACTAAAAAAATTTATATGTTTGTTTTATTTACCTGATCATAAAACACGAGAAGAAAATTAAAGGTTGAAAATAAGACTTTTTTTTTGCTTAATACAACACGTTGGGTAGAGATCTAAATCTATGACCTTTTGATGGTTTCTTAAGTTATGCTTATCTTGACGTCGTAGTTTAAATCCAGTCATTAAGATTTAATTGTTATGGGACAATAATAAATATGATTGTTAAAGATCCCACATTGAAAAGAGAGAGGACCTAATAATGGTTTATAACCACAATAATATTTTGTAAAGTAGTAATTTGGTTTTTTTTTTCAAATACAAAAGTTAAAAAAATGGAGGTAGAATTTTAAAATGACAAATTTACCAAAATGATATACATATGATATATTACTGATATGAACATCTAATATACTTGTAATATGTATGTGATATACATCTAATATATTACTGGTATGAGTGTCTGATATACTACTGATATAAGTGAAAATTTTTGTTATATTTGAAAATTTAAAAAACATGTGACATATTTTGAAATGCATAAAAGATTTTTACTGAGCACCGCAATTTTCCAATTATTATTCATTATTGGTGGTCGAATTTTCAAATGAACTTTTAATTTATTATATTTTGATCTTCAACTTCCAAAATGTTATACTTTTCTCAAACTTTTAAAAAGTAATTGTTTCGGTAATATAGATGGTAAATATCTTGGAAGTCCATAAACCAATATGAAAATAAAATAGTTCATAAACCAATATGAAAATAAAATTTTTCAAAGCGAGCATAGCTTAATTATAATTGATATATATCTCGAAGAGTTTAATCCCCTACATGTTGTATTAAAAAAAAGAAAGAATATGAAAATAAAATGTATATTTGTTTATTTTGAATATCACTTAAAAACCGAACCAAAATTGATTCGCTTCCCAAAATCGAGCGGTTTAATTCGGTTAAATAGGTATGGAGAAATCGAACCGAACAGTGACAGCCGCACAGGGACGGATATCCCGAAAAGGTACACAGCATTGAAGCCGGCAAATATGCCCTGTATTCTTCTTCAGCTTGTTGTATATAAAAATAAAAATCAAAGTCGATTTCTCCTCCTCCGCTCTTGGCTTCTCAGATAAGATTCTACTGGTGAGAGTTTCGAGCTCGTTTATTCGTCATTTTCATCATCTGTCAATTGGTTCATTCCATTTTCATGCATATTGTGTTTAGGGAATTGGGGTATGGGTTTACTGTGCAAAACATCAACATTTCGACTGTTTCTTGTAAAATTTCTTTCTGGGTTGCTTTTATCTCTCACCAAGTATTTTGTTTTCTGAGTTCATTCTGTTTTTTTTTTTGTGTGTGTGAAATTTTCATGGTTTCTGGATCAGATATCTTGGATCACCTCGGTTTTCAGCTTTATATTATCCCCACTTCTCACGCATGTTTTCTTACATGAATTTGTGAACAGATTGGCTGGTTGAAAGAATCTCGGTTCGTTTTGAAATTTCGTTTTTTTTTTGGGTTCATTTTTCAAGGCTCTGAGACCAGAGTTTCTTCAACTTATTGGAGTAGGATTTGAGTGATCTGGTCGCAACATACCCTGTAGATTGCTTTTTACTGGAAAACGTGTTTGGATTTGTTTATTTACTTTGTCTCTTATGACAGGAAACTAGCGGTAGTTAATGGGACTTCTCTGTTCTATCTGTATATTATTATGTTTTACTTTCATCCAACTCCCTATTTCCGTTTTAACGCAGAGTCGATCTTTTTGGTTTGAATGATCCACTACAGGGAGATAAACTTTAACATCAAATGATTCCAATTGTCTTTATGTTCCGTTCTGTGAATCTTTTTCGTTTGCTGAAACATGTGGTTGAAGTATTTGCTTTGATTTGCTGATTTATTGTTATTTTTTCCAGCTGCATAGTTGTTGCTCAAAATGGTTGATGCAAAGTCTTCGATAGCGAAAGATGTTACTGAAGTAAACCACTTACTTTCCTTTCTCCCTTCCCTCTCCTGTGAATGGAATGATGAATTTTAGTTCAATACCAAGAACTTCAGCTCATTACATGTGTTTAAATGTCTTAAAATTCACAGCTAATTGGTAAAACACCACTTGTGTATCTCAACCGTGTTGTTGATGGCTGCGTGGCTCGGATTGCTGCCAAGTTGGAGATGATGGAGCCTTGCTCCAGCGTTAAGGATAGGTACTTTTTGTGTTTAAATTATACACTATGTTTTCTTCTTTTCTTCAAAAAATTGTTACCTTAAAACTTGCATGGTGATACTGATGCATTGATGCTGCATTTTCTTGCCACAACTGAACATGGAAGCAACATGTTTATTTGTATACTTTTTATTTTATTTTATATTTTTTTATTAGGAAACCATCTTACATTAAGAAAAAGAAAGAACGTATTTATTTATTGATGTAGCTTCTTGCTATTTCTGTATAATTGGTTTTATAGTTTTAGTATGTAATTCTGGTGAATCATGTTAGTTTATAAGTAACAAAAACAGATGGAGCTTTTGTTTTCATGCTGAATCCTATATCCTATCGTGTTATCTTCTTGTCCAGGTTCCTTAAAGTTACACTCGTACTAAAATTTTCCACAATAATTGTGATGAGGAAAATTTGTCTTTCCTTTCAGGATTGGCTATAGCATGATTACAGATGCAGAGAAAAATGGAGATATCATTCCAGGGGAGGTCAGCGATTCCAAATGGTCTTTTTAGATATGAATGAAACTGCATCTTATATCCACTTTACATGGCTTCTTTTGAAACTTTGTTAGAACTTTTACTTTGAATTGATTATGTGTGGATCATAGGCATTGTGTGTTTGCTTCTTTTTCTCGTGTCTGGGTTGACCCACTCCTTTTTTTCCTTCCATAGAGTGTCTTGATTGAACCTACCAGCGGAAACACTGGTATAGGATTGGCCTTCATTGCTGCTGCCAAGGGTTACAAACTCATAATTACGATGCCTGCATCAATGAGTCTTGAAAGAAGAACCATTCTTCGAGCTTTCGGAGCTGAACTGGTTCTCACTGATCCAGCTCGAGGGATGAAAGGAGCTGTTCAGAAGGCTGAAGAGATAAAAGCAAAGACACCTAACGCTTACATCCTTCAGCAATTTGAAAACCCTGCTAACCCAAAGGTATCCTCCGAGTCAATTTGATGTGACACATCATTTTCCATCTGAGAGATTTATGTTATATTCTTCATGTCTTTTCAGATCCACTACGAAACCACTGGTCCAGAGATTTGGAATGGCTCGGGTGGAAAGGTTGATGCACTTGTCTCTGGCATAGGAACTGGAGGTACAGTGACAGGTGCAGGGAAGTATCTTAAAGAACAAAATCCCAACATCAAGGTTTGTCATTTCTCATCATCTGAACTTTTGTGTTTCTGTTATCTGTGAAGAACCTACCGGATTTCTGATGTGCCTTCTCCCCTTCCATGTGTAGTTATATGGTGTAGAACCAGTTGAAAGTGCAATTCTATCTGGAGGAAAGCCTGGTGAGTTCTGACATCCCTTTCGCTTCCTCCCTTTTTCGTAAACTACATGGAACATGGGGATGTTGCCAAAAATCAGTACACAGCATGATTATATGATTTTGATTTATGATCCGTATGATTAAGAACTTTTTGACAAGATATATAAGGTGGTACGATACGATGTTGGGGGCATGTTTCCAAATATTATATTTGCATTTATGATCTTGCAAAGTGCATTGGCTCTACCAAGTCTTGCGTATCAATGTTTTAGAAGTTGGTCTTTATGTTTTCTCTTCCTACCTAATTAGAACATATTATGTATATGAACATTTAGGCCCACATAAAATCCAAGGAATAGGGGCAGGCTTTGTCCCTGGAGTTTTGGATGTCAGTGTGCTGGATGAAGTTGTTCAAGTAAGCATCGAACTTTTATTACATTTCTTTCAATAGACATTGGAAGTGTGTGACAGAGCTCAAATGGTTAATGACAAGCATAAGGAGACATCATGTGTAGACATTTAACTTTAAATATTGTATTTGGATTTTATGAAGTCCATTCGGATGGACTCTCGAGATGGGTTCAATTAGGAACTTTTTTTGGTTTGAGAAAATTAGGTTCAATTAAGATCTTGTTCCCGTAGATAAATGTTTAATCTTTATGGTTTAAAGACGTGCAACACCAATGTCTAGTCATGCTGAACTTATTTTACGCACTTTTAATAGAAATCTTGATTCCCAAAACAGAGAAAAGAAAAGAAAGAAGATAGGAAAGAGGAGCTAGTATTTTTGAAGTGATCAGTTTAAACATCTCTATTACATTTCTTTGGGTTCGCTTACTGGCATATATTTCTCAAGTTTTTGTAAAATGAACAAGATTTACCTCTCTATACTCATCCTTTGCTCAATATCCACAATCCAGTCCTTCGTTCAACTGACTATAGTTTCTCAAAGTTTCCTTCTGATTATCTCTCATGCATAACTGAATTTAATACTTGAATGTGTTTTCAGGTATCAAGTGAAGAAGCCATTGAAACTGCAAAGCTGCTTGCATTGAAAGAAGGTTTACTGGTGAGTTGCAACATAATGGAGATAGGCCTCAAAAGAGGATTTCCAATGCTATTTGTTACTATTTTTCATCATAATCTTTTGAGCCTATCATCCCTGATGTCTGATTGCTAAAGTTTTCTGTTCTTTGTGTATTCTATGACATCGACACCGTTGTCTATTTGTAGGTCGGTATATCATCTGGTGCTGCAGCCGCCGCTGCAATTAAGGTTGCAAAGAGACCAGAAAATGCTGGAAAGCTCATTGTTGTAAGTGTCATTTTTTTTTTCTCCTGTAGCACCACCTTTGATATTATACCGCTTGAGCTTGTTTCTATACGTTGATTCTTCTACTCGTATGAGATACTTCTAGGCTTAATATACATTTTAGTCTCTTCTGATATTTTTCAATTTAGTCCTTGTTAAAAAGTTTCAATTTAGTTCCTAATGTTTTACCCTTTTTCAATTATACTTTTTATGTTGGTGAATATTAAATTTCGTCGATGGTAAGCTGGGCTAATTTCTTCTCTAGATTTTTACCAACTCACTACATATCATATCATATAGGCTTATAATTTTAACGTTGATAGACGAAAATGGTATAATTTGAAAATATTAAAATATTAGGTTCTAAATTGAAAATGTACCCAAACATTAGGGACCAAAACACATATATTTAACCGTAGAATAATTCCTGATCATTTAGTAGTGCACAGTTTCTCATTTGCAGCAGCATTCATCAAATTCTATGATATTGTTGACCTTATACAATTGTTGGAAGAAATAGATACTGATGTGATGGAGGGGGAAAAAAGAAACAAAAGATTTATAGCTTGAATGAATTCCTCCCCTTCTCTATACCAGATCACCATCTAGCTAATCTTTCCGTTGGAAATTGGAAATCTGAACGCAGGTGGTCTTCCCGAGCTTCGGTGAGCGATACCTCTCGACTGTGCTGTTCGAGTCTGTGAAACGGGAGACCGAGAACATGGTTTTCGAGCCATGAGAGGTTAGATAACATCCCCTTGCCTTCAAATGGAGCCATCCAGTTGAATATTCTCTGCAAATATCCCATGGGTCAAAGCAAAGAAAGTGAAAATGAACTTCAAGTGGTTCTTTTTAAGCTTCCAATGCTTTTGGTTCTTCCTTCTAGTAATTTGAACCTGTGTTTCTGAATGGTTTCTTCCTTTCTGGTTTGCTCAGCTTTAGTGGATAAACACATAGATGCAACTGAGAATAAGGACTCTCTTTTATGTAATCTCTTCTGTTGAATAATGTATTGGATGAGTAATTTGTTTATGAAAATGGTAATGAAGATGAAAATATAAAAATATTCAAATGAGTCTGTTGGAAATGGTCACAGATATATGCCTCTTGGGAGAGTTGTTGAATTTTCATATAACCAAAGGTATTTATTTTATTGATTTGGTATAGTTTGTTATCTATTTTTCCCTATGTAGTCACAGACATATGTCAGAATTGAAAATTTGGACAAAAATTACCTTGATGAGTTACATTTGGTTGATTTGTAAAATATCAGAACAAAAAAACATTGGTAAGTTCGATTTTAATTGATTCGAATTTTCACAATATTGATTAAATCCAATGAAATTCAAACTTTGGGTTTTAAGACGATAACTAGTGGAACTGATAGGTGTGTTTGGGATTTTTGAAAAAAAAAAAAAACTCGAGTTTTATCAAACATACAGGGTTTGACAGTAAATAAATAAATTTTTTAAATTTCAATTGGTTATAAATATATTTTTGAAGAACACGGATGAGATTGATTATCCAAAAAAGAAAAAAATAACTTTAAAACTCCCCCCAACTCCTGGACTTAAAATTTGATAGATTTTTATTTAATGCCTTTAAAAAATAAGCTTAAAAAATTTTTCCAAATTTTGTTTTTGTTTTTTAATTTTAGCTAGCAATTCAAATATATTTTTAACAGAATGGTTAAAATTTACTAATAAAATTATATTAAAAAGAAAGCAGAATTTTAAAAAAACATAATAAAAAACAAAATTGTTATCACACAATATCTAAAAAAAGTGATTAAATTATAATGTATGTTGAACTCACCGTAGCTTCTAAGCTTGAAAATTGATAGCTGTTGGAGGTACATATTTTTCAATATATATATCTTGTTCGGTATTAATATTCATGGAATCCATCTCAAAATCGATTGGTTATGACCCCTCAAGATCATGGCTCTTTTGGCTCATCGATCTTGGCCGGATCCCATTTTTTTTGGACTGGATGCTCGTTTGAGCGTTTTGAGCTCTGATACCATATTAATATTCATGAAATTTCATCTCAAAACTAATTGACTATAAGAGGAGTAGCTCATGTCTATTATAAATCATTACCAAGCTCATTTTCTTTTCAATGTAGGATCCTTAATATCTGGATTAGCTTGCGTACACTCGAATAATCATAGGCGAACCGTCTGACCCTACTACATTTAGTTGATGAGAAAAGTCATAGGATATTAAATTTTAAGATAGCTAACATGATGGTTTCAATATACTTTGTTGTTTTCTTATTTGTTTGACCACCAACTCTTGAATATTTTTGCTGAAAGTTTTACAATTTTAATGATTGATTTAAAAATATATTATTTTGAACACATGAAAATGTTGTCTCTAACATGTACCAACTTTGGCAGCGATTTCAAATTTCAATCAGGTGAAAATGAAAATTAAGAAGTCCTATATAATTTCAATTTATGACTTCGATTGGTTTAATGGACTGATCCAACTGATTAATTTAATTAATAAAAATTAGTATTTTCATTTTATAAAAATACCCGATAACCAATTCACCATCAATTTTAACCAAAATAAAGTCAAATAAACTCAATCCAACTCAAACGTCACAATCCAACTCATTTTATCCTCAAGTCTTTTTTTTTGGTCGATTTCTTCATAATATTTTATCTATTTACTTTTTTTTTATGAGAAACAAGAGAACTTTATTAAATTTTTCAAAAAAAGAAAAAAGAGAACTTTATTAAAGAAAAAAGGTGACATAGCCGGGGCCGGGTAGAGAGAAACCCTGCCCAAGGACTACACATTATAAATCATCTTCCAGTCATTTATAACCATGACAAGGCTATATTTACAAAAGAATCTTCATAATATTGAAAAAATTTCTTATTTTCTTCAACCAAATCTTTATTATCATAAAATAAATATAAATACCTATAAAATTAGAAAGCTACTTCCTCGTAGAAAGTTACTTTCCTCGTACCGAATCTTCATGCATGCAGGGAGAAATCGAAATCAAGTTGCTCGTCATATGGTCATCACAGGTATTGTTTGGGTAAATAAATTCCCCTCTTGACTTATTAGTGTGGCCAAAGCAAAAAGTGAGCTTTGTATAGCTCCTTGAGTTTAAAAGAAATTCTTAAAGACTCAACTAAAAAAAATTCTCAGCACGTAAGAGGTAAGAGATGTTCAATGATGAGGAACAAAATTAAAAATACTGTGAATTAAATTATATATTTAGCTAAAAGAAAAGAAACTAGTAAAAAAAAAAAGGAGATTCAAACTACTGAATAGAAATTACATGGACTACATACACAAAAAGGTCCTAAGCCTTGGGCTATCTTAGCATACAGAAGAAGAGAGAAGGCATTCTTTCCCTAACACCATTTTGCTTCTCTCTAGTGGTCAAATAAAATGCATTGCCACTCAAAAATCTATAATGGTTTCCCAATTTCTCCTTGATTCTCTATATAACCTCTCCAGGACTTGAAAATGCCAGAGCCATTCTCAGACAACTTCCTACTCATCTCCACATCTCGGGATCTCGGTCCAAATGATACACAGAGAGTGCTAGCACTACTTAGCCTTTGATTGCCTGAACTCAAACCAGATCTCGTAATGGTTGAAAAGCAGGCTGTCGTGCGTGCGTTTTCCTAAATATTCAAGTCCCAAGTTTGTAAGACGCTTTGTACATTCCTCCCCGCCCAACCGCGAACAGAACTTTATGTTATGCGACACGAATATTCGCCCATCATATGGCTTTAATTTGCTGGCAAGCCTCTCTAGACCAACCCATACAAGCTTATCAGGCATATGAAGAAACACAGCACTAGCATATATCAAATCATAAACAACTTCAGAGCCAAACTTGGTGAAGTCCATGTCCTCCCCTTTCACGATTAGCGGGCGCTTGCTTAAGAGACCTTGAGATGGAAGCTCGTACCTAAAGGCAGCCATCATTGAGAGCTCGTCCCTCTCGAGACAGTGGTAATGTCCAGGCTTGAGATATCGAATGAAATGCAAGCCAACACGGAGGGTGCCACATCCAATCTCCAAAACATGTGCATCTGGTTTTAGATGAGAGAACTCGGCTAGGAATTCAAACACATCTCGCCCACCTGCCCAAGGTTCACCATAGTTGCTATGGTGCTCTTCAACAAGGAGCTCACCAGGGCATGGAAATGCTGTACGGTTCTGTTCGTCAGATCCCTCATAATGTGATATACCCTTGAATCTATTGTGAATATAATGAATTAAGTCAATCATCGATCAAGTGTTCTTATAGCATATGGAAAGTAGACACAATTCATGAAGAATACAAATAGGAACAAAATTATATGAACAATGAACAAGCAGAAACAAGGTAACCACGTTACAATAGACCAATAAAAAAGCAGGTTTACAAATGAAATCCATACAAATTAATTAACAAGCTATTAATGGAAATCTTCACAGATTTACAAGCAAGTTTGATACACTATCATGAAATCTATCCAGATTTTCCACGCATATCCCATTTTCACAACTAACAAGAAATTATATGATGTATAATTCAACCTCTTTTCCACTCGATTTCAAATAAATTCCAATGCCATTACAAACTAATTAACACGAAAGAATGCAGGTGAACAACTTTCGATAAAAATTTCAGGACAGCCTAAGCACAATTTGTATCTAGATCCGAGGCTCAATTGCAGTGATTCAACGCAAATGACATATAAACAACTGCAAATTCGAGATTTACAATCCGAAACTGAACGGAGAAAGATAATTCCCGGTGAAAGGTTTGTTTTCAATTCATCAAATCTCGTTCGAGAAAGAAGATAGAAAGAGCTATTGGTAATTACTCACTGCCTGAGATCTTCGAGCTGCTGAGCCCTAGTGCGAGGGTTGATGCCTTTCCGGAGCACATTCTCGTGCATCTGCAGTCCATTGGCTCTGATCTGATCCTTCACCCAGTCGACATCGTCCTTGCTCGTCCGGACCCCATCGCCAACGCAACCTCCGGCGCCGGCAGCGGTGCCGGAGACGACAATGCGGGGAGAAGCAGGGCAGGAGCAAGAGGAGAGATTGGAGAAGAAGAAGAACAGAAACAAAATTGCAGCAGAGGCGGTGAGTAAGAGCACCGGAAAGGTGACGACAATCCCTTTCGGAGACGATGATGACGACCACAGCGCCATTCCCGGAGCTCAACCGAAGGAAAGCAATGCGTGTTTTCAGGCCAAATGTTTCCCCTTCAATGGGCTTTTTGTAAGAAATTGCGAAAGATTTTAACTCCAACCAAAATAATAAATAATATGTTGAATGTTTTCCAATTTAGTCTCCATGGTTCAAAAGTTTCGTTCAAAAAGTTTCGATTTGGTCCTCTGTCTTGTTTGGATTTTCAGTTATACTCTCCCTACTGACCTAACATATTACTTGGGGATATTAGTTTCTAGTTTCTTTAATAAATTGTTCAAAATATTGAATTTTAATATTTTACATTGATAATAATTTCTTCTTTTTTTAGTACAATAAATTGAGGTAACGAGAGTTTGAATTTCCAACATGGAGAGAAATAATAACTGCCAACCACAATCCGTGCGAGATGAAAGTCTCGTGCACGATTTTGAATGAGAGAAAGAAGTGAGGAATCCTCTTTTCGACTTTGACTCTCCCACTCCAGTAGTTGTTTTTCTTTCTGTTACTTCGAAAGTAGCTGCTTCTGCTTCAGCTTCAGCCACTCGAATTTTCGATATTCCTTTTTTATTTTTCATCAAACGAATGACATCTTCTTCTGGAAATCCTAGCTATTCTTAGCATGATATTGGGGAATCATCTCATATCCAATTAGTTTTGAGATGAAACTCATATATATTGATATGGTATCAGAGCTTCAAAAGAGGCAGAGTCACGATTTTGAATGGCATGTTAAGGATCCTACCTTGAAATAAAATGAATGTTGGAGATTTTTAGATGAAAACCCGTGAATATTAATAATTGTGTTTAACTTAATCATAATCGAAATGATAACGAACTGAAATAATATATTTTTTTTTTGTTATTATTGCTTACTGAAAAATTTCTACCATTGAAATCACAAATTTACTAGCATTGTTTACTGAGGAATAAAAAACGCAATCAAAATTTTTTAAACAAAACATACTAAATCGAAAAAACGTCTAAATATTGGGGACTAGAACAATTATTTAAACACACTATGCTTATTGGCAAAATGGACTGATCCATCGTCAAAATCTATTTGTTTAAGATGATGTGTTTAAGTAGAATGCCCACTTATCCAAATATGTTAGTACACATTTAACCATTGTTTAACGAAATTACTTAATTCACAAGTTTTATATATGGAGGACATAATTTTAAAATTTTAAATATTATCATATTAATAATTAATTGAAAGACTGTGGATATATATCTTAACATAAAAAGAAACAAAAATATACAAATTAATCTACTTCCAAATGTTGTGATTATAAAAATTTGACTCTTTTTCCTTCTAGATAATCTTTTTTCAAGATTATTGACATTGACTTAGATTTTCGAAAAACTATGAATAGATGAGTCCCCGTCTTAAAACTCTCTATATATATTATATATAAGATATTGTAATCTAAAATATGTTAGTTATTAAACACGAATCCTCAAACTCTTAATTATAGTAGTTATAATTGTACTCCAAAAGCTTGTGAAATTAATGTAGTTAACTTTTATTATTGGGTATCTTATAGCTTCATCAATACGATTTAACAACTCTCTTGAAAGTGTGATCGTGAACAAGTGAGAGTACTATATATAAAATAGTTGAGATACATTTTTTTTCAAAAAAAAGTGGAAGAAAAATGGAAAATGCTATAAATATCGAGGAATTACTAAGAACACCCAATATTTGATTTATTTATTGTTGTCATAAAGTGATATGTACTTAAAAAGGTGACGAAATTGCTGAGAAATTTAAAGATTTGATTAAGAGAGTCAAGTAGCTCAGTTTCATGTTTTATTTCCCGACTTGCCTACATTTTTTTTTGTTTTGTTTTTAATTTTATATTCGAATACTAATTAAAAAAACTAAAGTAAAAATTTAAAAATAAAAAACATTTTTTTTTCTATAAGAGGATCCGAACTTTCAACTCTCATAAAAATGCATAGATGTCTATGAATTACAATGATTTTAAGCTTAAAAATAAAATATAAAAAAAATATTGTTTCTATTAGTTACCATGCATTTAATAAGTAAACATAATAAAATAATAATTTCGCTAATATGTTTATAGAATTGAAGGAGGACTAAGAGACGATATATAAATAAAATTTGGTTGTATCTAAATTCTACTCATTTATTTAAGAAACAAAACAAATTATTAATATAAATAGCTATCAAATAGTTATGCTTTTTAAAAGAACGAAAATAATAAACAAGAAGCAAAATTAAGAGGTAATTCGATAGAGTTGCCATTTTCTATTTTTCATTTCTTATTTTATGTTTTTTTTTTAGAAATATAAATACCAAAATCACATTTTTTTAACTGTTCCTATTTCTATTATTATTATTATTATAAAAAAACATAAAGGAAAGTATTATTTTATTATTTTTATTTATAGAATGTATCCTTAATATAATATATAAAATGTTTTAATATTTAATTTAAAATCACTTTTCATGTAAAATAAAAATGTATGGAGAAAAAATAAAAAATAAGTTTGAAACATATTTTTAAGGTAGAATTAAATTTTTTTTTAGTATAATTACCATTGAGCTAGCTAGAATTAAAAATTTTAAAACAATAGAAATTTACCTACCAACCATATGTCGTTATAATTTAACAAATAAATAATATATAACGTTTGCAAAAGGAAATAATGTCATAAATTAATTCGTTCTCACGTGCTGACTTTGAAAGTCATTTCCACGAAGCTTCAAAAATCGTCGTCTTATTAATAGTTAGTCCGTCGAGCTCAGACTCATCAGCTAAGAGCCTGACCGCCGTCAACGGCGGAGCTCCGAGGATCGAGCTGAGATCTCGACGTTGGCCGGCGGCGGAGCTCCGAGGACAAGAAACCGTGAACGGTCTCTAACTCTTAGATGTTCGTTGCATCATGTTTCTTGTTTTAAGGTCGTAAAATTGAGGTTTCAGAACGTTGAATTTCTTTTGAAAATAGCAGGAGGAAGAATATGGCGGGGGCATTCATCGGTGGCGCAGCCTTAGGTGCTGCATTCGGCGAGCTGTTTTCTGTAATCAAGAATTTAGGCGAGAGGGCGATCAATTTCAGTTCTGTTCTTAAGGAGATCGAATTCAAGGTGAAGGCTATATTGCCACTGCTTAAAGAAATTGATGGCCTGAATGAAGCCCTGGGGTATACGAAAGAAGAAATGGAGAAGTTGAGAAACCTAATAGAAGATGGCAAGAGGCTACTTCTTAAGTGTGGCGATGATAAATTGGGGAAGCTTAAGTGGCTGAAGACACCGATTTACACAGGGAAGCTTCGTGAATTGGATGCTTCAATTCGAAGTTTCATGGACGTTTTGCAGTTGCAAACGGCTAGAGACATGAAGAAGAACTTGACGATGACGGAAAAATTGATGGAAACCCGTAGAAATCCTGATACCAATGGTGGGGTAAGCAATACGGTGGATTCGCGGCCATGTCAGGTTCCCGATCTTGGAGAAGAAAGCGTTGGATTGAACAAGCCAGTTGAGGAATTGAAGGTGAAGCTTCTTAAAGATGGGGTTCGAATGTTGGTAGTGACAGCTCCTGGAGGTTGTGGAAAAACCACACTTGCCGTAAGGTTTTGTCACGACAAGCTAATCAAAGGTAAATAAACAAATCACTCTTCTGGAAAAACGTCTATTACAATTACAAAAAGTAAAGCAAGGATTGATTTGAATGTTTTGAGCTCCACATCGAAAAGAAAAAGGACCTTATAATGGTTTATAATAGACATGGACTACTCCTATCATTGTCAATTGGTTTTGAAATGAACCCTGTGAATATTGACAAATTAAAGGTGTCTCAATAGTGTTATTATTTGATTTTAGTCTCTGAGTTATTCTTCTGGTATCAATTGTTGTTCTTGGGATGCTTTTATTTCTTTTTAAGCTCTGATTCTTCTTATTGTTTGTACTTCAAAATCTCGTGTCTTGTAAAAAAAAGTTCTGTGCATTTCTTACAGGAGCTTTGTAATTCTGCATTTCCACAGATAAATTCCAGAACATATTATTCCTCACAGTTTCAAGTAAACCAGATACGAAGCACATCTTAAAAGATGTAATTCTAAGCCTCAAGTGGCCTAAAGTACTGTCTTATTCTCAAGAGGACGAACAGACACTCTGGTCTGAAGCTCGATGGCTGGGACAATCAAGTTCAAATCCTGTATTGATCGTGTTGGACGATGTCTGGGAAGGTTCAGAATCAGAATGCCTTCTTTCCAAGTTCCTCCTCATGCCCAACTGCAAAATTTTGGTCACCTCTAGATTCAAGTTTCCTAGATTTGGTGAGCCGTATTACTTGGAACCCTTGAACCATCAAGATGCGAGGGAACTGTTTCATCGCTCGGCATCGCTGGATAAAAAACCAAGGTTCCCAGATGAAGAGATTGTAGAAAAGGCAATCTATCTACCAATTTGATAGAAAAAGCTACACTTGTACACTGTTTTGCTTTTGAATACTTGAGATGTAACTGAAGTTTGGATGGTTGAATTGCAGATAATAAGGGGTTGTAAGAGATTCCCACTTGCTCTGAAAGTGGTTGCAAGATCACTTTCTGGTAGAGCTGCATCGGTTTGGAAAGTTGCAGAGAGGAAATTATGTAGAGGAGATTCTATTTTGGGTTCTGAGAGAGAACTTATGGAATGCCTCCAAAGCAGCTTAGATGCAATCCCAGATGAGAATATGGTAATCAAGGAGTGTTTCATGGACTTGGGTTCGTTTCCTGAAGACCAGCGAATTCGTGTGGCTACATTCATTGATGTTTGTGCAGTATTGTATGAACAAGATGAATGTGAAGCAATGACAAACCTTGAAGGGCTTTCGACTAGGACACTGGTTAGCTCTGTCTCTTTGAGGTAAAATTCTGTTGCTTTCAGGTTGTTTTTTCATAAGAGACGAAACAAAGGTTTGATTTTGACGTGGAACCTATAAATCTAGGTAGAAAGTTTACTAACAATTTTTTTTTTCTTTAAAACAGTTTTCAGCATATTTTTCTCTCTCTAAAATTTTCATAATATTTACTATTTATCTCTCCAAAATTTTTATCCCTATCTAACATATCATTCTCATTTTTCTCTCAACACAAATTTAATATTCTCATTTTTCTCTCCCTACAAATTTAATATGGTTCAAAACTACCAAAACGAGCATAACCAGCGATAATTGACATATATCTCCCATCAAAAGTAGCTAAATTCCCTACCCCACACGTTGTACCTCGAAATTTTTCTTTTCTTCAAATTTTTTGCTTGTTATAACTTCTATTTCTCTTTCTAACTTTTTTTAGAGCAAGTAGGTCTCCAACTTTTCTTTATCTAAAATTTTCACTCTCAATTTTGTTTTGCTGTAATTTTATTTCTCTTTTTCATTTATTTATTTTTCTCAAACAAATACATCTGAAAATTTTTTCTATTAACTTTCTTTTTCACTATAATTTCTCTTTATTTTTCTAACATGTTTTTCTCTATCAACTTTACTCTATTTTTCTAAAATTTTCTTTGAACTTTTATTTTCATGTCTCAAAAGTCTCAGGCTAGGTACCCAGTCAAAGGATATGGAATGCATTTTCCATCATTCATTCCAATTTTAAATATTAAATATATAATTTTGGTAACTATTTTACTAAATTAAGAATAAAATGTTAAATATTTTTTAAAACTAATTTTTTAGACATTTAAAACTAATTTTTTAGACATTTAAAACTAATTTTTTAGACATTTAAAACTAATTATTTATATCAGTAAATAACAATTTTAATATATTTATTACTTTTTTATTTTTTTAAATTCTAAAAATAATTAAAATTAATTACTAAACCCACAACGATTCCCATCCCCAAATGTCAATTCCTTGACTTAGACCTCGATTCTCGAAATCAGAAAATGAGGTAGGGACGTGGATTAAAAATTTCCATGAGGATGAGAGTGTATGCCCGACCCATCTCGTTGTTATCTCTATTTTACATAGATTTTTCTCCCTAGCATATCTCTTTTGACTCTCTAATATTTTAGAAATAGAAAAAAATGGTTACCAAACATTTGATTTTTTGTTTAAAAAAAAACAAAATCAATATTAAATGTATATGATTTTTGTTTTTTAAAAACTGAAAATTAAAAACAAAATATATAAAACATAAAAACCATGAACAAAAAACAGAAATTGCATGAAGCTGGCAAAAAGTTGGTGGCTTGATAGTATTTTGTGGGTGATTTTGTCAAGAACATCTGTAAGAAAACAAAGGGATTCTTTTTGGGTATGGTTTCCTTTTAATTATTTATCAGAATATCTTTTCTATAATTACTATATATTACTTTTCATTTTATAAACCAGTTCAGAAATTCATAACTCTTTTATGTACACTAAAAAATTATTATAAAATATTTCATTTGAACATTTACTTTATAAATAGACTAGAAAAAAAGGAGCGCTTAGTGGAAAGAAATTTTCTTTTTCTTTTTTCCCTTGTCTGAAAGAACTTTTATATAATCTTGTGCTAAATAAATTTCTAACTCTAAGCTAGCGTTTCTTTTCACTCCAAGACATTTCAAGTACTAATAATAATTACCTTGAGCCTTAATCCAAGTATCTGAACAAAAAAAGCAAGATCTGTGAGACTTTGCTTCATGACCATTTGTTTATGAATTTGAAGTTCGTAGTCTTGTTGTGTTTATTTTTCAGAAATGAAGCATGTGAAGATGATTACCACAGCGAGTCCTATTTTACGCAGCATGATGTTCTTAGAGAGTTGGCTATCCAATTGATTAATGAGAAGCCCGTAGACCAAAGAACAAAGTTGCTTTTGGACATTAACAGAAATGATTTCCCTAAATGGTGGTCTGAAAAAGAGATGCAACCCTCCAATGCTCGCCTTCTATCCATAACAACAGGTCCTTCCTTTTCTCTCTCCCGTGTTCTGATATTTCATATTCGGTATCTCTTTCTACAATCTAACACCCGGTGGAATGCTGATGGTGCAGATGAGACGTTCTTATCATGTTGGCCTGACATGGAAGCAACTGAAGTTGAGGTTCTAATTCTAAATCTTCTGTCAAAAACTTACAACTTGCCCGAGTTCATGAATAGAATGAATAGATTAAAAGCTCTGATTGTCACGAATTATGGACTACTTCAAACTGAATTGGGCGGTGGTTATCAACTAACCAACTGTTTGTCAAGGCTAGAAAGAATCAGGCTTGAACGAATTTCAATTCCTCCTTTTAGTAATCAGAACTTGAAACCACTGTCACATCTTAAGAAAATATCGTTCTATATGTGTAAAGTTGATAAAGCTTTCACAAACTGCTCAACCCAGATCTCGACTGTGTTGCCTAACTTACTTGAGATTTCCATAGACTTCTGCAACGATTTGATGGCTCTCCCTATTGGACTATGTGAAATTGTCAGCTTGGAGAAGTTGAGCATTACAAACTGTCATGGACTAACTTTGTTACCAGAAGAACTTGGGAAGTTGATTGATCTAAAAACTCTAAGGCTTAGATCTTGCATTCATTTGAAGGAGTTGCCAGAATCAATCTCGAGGCTCCAAGAATTAGTCAATCTTGACATATCTCATTGTCTTGGCCTTACCAAGCTTCCAGAAAAGATTGGCAAGTTGCAGAAGTTGGAAAAGCTTAATATGTGGAGCTGTTCGATCTCCAAGCCCCCAGCATCACTAAGAAATCTAAAAAACTTGAAGACAGTAGTGTGTGAAAAGGAGATAGCAAAATGGTTTAATATTGTCTCACCTCGGCTTCGGAAACTGGTAAAAGAACACACGGAAGAAGCCAACCTGGACTGGCTATTAGCATGACAGCTCCCTATTTGAGAAGCTTTCTAAGGTACACATAAAAATTATGGATCTTGGGAGAGTAGCTTACGTTTATCTTATGTATCTGTAAACGATCATCTTCAAAACATTACTCTTTGCTCGGAGAGGAATCATAGGATTTTCAACAACTTGAAAAGGGAAGGACTTTTGATAAAACCTAGTTTAAGGTTTTTAAGCAAACACTACAGCAAATAACCTTTCTGTTGCCTTTTGTAAGCATGAATTTGCTCGAGAAAATTCAAAAATAATGTACATTTTGTTCTTCTTCTTTTTTTTTTTAATATTTTTTAATTTATGTTTATTTTATTTTTTAGATATATTGCTGCTCATAAGCTGCGCCTTTCACTTTTTTCCTGCTTCTCTTTTTCATTATCGATCATAATTAATGCCACTGTCCTGCTCTTACCCCTCCTGTCCACTCTGAGTCCTGACTACAACTTCTTCATCTCAATCTGCTTTGCAGGTTATACCAGTGGTCGTTAATACACGACTTACTGTTTCTTGTAAAAAAAGGTGCTGCAGTAGAAATTTCATCACCGTGGCCCTAAAGGAGAAATGTAGGTGGTTTTTGTTGAGAATCCATAAATATGAATTAAATTTATCTAATCCATCAACTTAAGCATTTGGGTTGAGTGGTGGTTTACATGATATCAGAATGGGAGATTCTGTGTTTGAGCCTCTGCATTGTTGTTCCCTCCCCAAAACCGAATTATTTATTTTCATTACCTTCTGTTCGATTCTTAATGGGTTGGCTGATTCCGCAGAGAAAAAAGATGCAATTTGTTCAAGAGCCATTTGGGTTGCCAGGATTGAAGGGGCCATGATCGCTGATGTGAACTAACGAACATCCATTGTCATCATGAATGTGCTCCTTAAATTTCATATCATTCACCGACTATTCAAGTTGTTGTAAGATCCCATTACAGAGTTAAAGAACTGTTTTGGTCAGGGTAGAAAGGACATGGGTTTTCTTAAATGGAGTTGCATGCCAGAAAAAATGTGAGCTACCTCGCTTTGACAAGAAGTTCTTCAACTTCATAGTGAAAGAAACTCCTTTATGGTGATTCTGTTGCCAGAAACCACATGGAGGTCTGCCTCTTGTCACATCTCTCTACTTTACAAATGGAAAAAAGGAAAAGAAGTTGATTGACTTTCTCACATTAAGCGAGGTTGTTCTATATCATTACTTGCCTAATCTTTATGCATTATTGTTTTCATCTAAAATTAATGCTTATGCCAAGTATTTAGTATTTTGAAAAAATCACACAGCTTCAATCACTACAAGATTCATTAATTTGGTGTGTTAAACGTTGGAAAACTAATTCATGTACTTTATTTATGTTATTTTAGAATGGCTAAGTCGGTTCCTCTGCCTTCCAATATATATGATTTTCTATGCATTCAGTTGATTTTTGAAGAGGACATTTTTTTTGTCCCATTCCAGACTTGGAGTTGGAAATTTAAACAATTCCACAAATGTGTCGAATATATTTATAATATTGTATCTAGATATATTGATGAACATCCAAACAATTCCACCAAAATCCTAGAATTAGTCCTTAGTAAGGAATGATCCGTGATGAATTTGTGATTGCAAAAACTTAAGTATTTGGTATTTCCATTTCTTGATGACTTTATTAAGAAAAATATCAGGAGTGTATACCCCCGGCGTTTTCTCCGTCAATTCCAATCACCTTTTTATTAACACTGTTGATTCATGTGAAAGCTGAGGAATCTGATTTTAACATCTCATTTGTTGCTACAGGGTTAGATGGATGGAGGTTGTGGGTGAATTAAGAGTTATGATACATGGCCTCCAACCGAAGTAAAAAATGGTCAATATAGAGAGGTTGTGAGTGAACTAAGAAGATGGTGGAATTTAAAGCTATGGCTGGTTTAACACTGGTGCAAGTTGAAGTTTTCAATCTTCATCTTTTACACCTCCAGGTCTTCAGTGCATTCCCAGCTAATTTCTGCATTCGGGAGGACTCTTCACTTGACTAGGTACTCTTGCAAGTCTCGTCCTCTATATTGTACTGCTTATACTTTCTTGTTAAAATATCATTTTGGTTCTTGTATTTTGGACTTGTTCTGTTTTAGTCCATGTGCTTTTAAACGTCCAAAATTAGTCCTATTTTAAATAAACCTTAAAATTAGTTCGCAGTTCGCACTATTAGTTTGTGGTTAAGTTTTGCGAAGAAAAAAATTAGTTCCTGTAAGGCTATAAGCCTTCAGTCTATAACTTTCCTTTTCTTAAATGGAAATTGTTTTTTTAAGTAGAAAGATTAAATTTTGACATTTGAAACTTGAAAGGATAAGGAACAAAATAGTATTTTTCAGTTGGAGCTTGGGTTGAAATTACTGCATTCACGTCAAGTATAGCTTTAATGATTTTCCTTTCTCAGCTTTTCAATGAGTGTAAACTAATAGATAGAAAAAGTATTTATTGAGCCAATAAAAACTTGAACTACCTGTGTGGTACTGTCGATTCATGGGAAGGAAATGTGGAGCCAGTGAAATCTAGAATTAGAGATCTAAAACTCATATCAAACCAAACATTAACATATTTGCATGTCTTTTGTAGTAATCGTGTCATGAAATCACTACTAAATCAAAAAGTTTTAATGAATAAGTCAGAGTACGATCTATATAAATTTTGATAGCTGTGAGTGTTTATACCAGCTAATGTGCACCTGCACCTTGACTAGTCTCTCGAGACAACCGTTGTATCTTGTGACATAAGGTTGTCAAACTCTTGAATTTTATATTGAGTAGGTAACTATCATGGGTTCCAAGGTACCCTTTTTTTTCTTCTTAATGCTACTATACCGACCTATGATGGTTATTTTATTCATGTATTCTTAACCATCGTGTGAGTTTATTTGCCAACAAGTAGACTATTAATATGAGTTGTGAAGAAAATAACATTGCAGAAGATAAAATCTTATGTTTTGATGCGTTGTTAATTTACCATTAAACTTAAAAGCTTATACAATATTGGATGAAATTGTAGTGTTGATATGACAAGTATAATCGAAAACAACATCGTGGAGAGATGACAAAATTTACTCAAATTCTCTTTTATTCCTCTATTTTCTTTTCCCTGGTAAATTCTCTACCCTTTTATTTCCATTACATGTGACTTTATTTTCATTTATAAAAATGTATATCATATTTGGTTGGAAATTTTAAGTTCATTTTGTAATGAGAATGTTGTTTTGAATCTTTGTAGGTACTTGCCAAGAAATTTGAAGAGTACCAACCCCAAATGGCTTTCTTGATCATTTAAGACCAGCTTTAGAATTTAAAGCTAAAAGAAAATATTGAGTTGATACAGAATTTAATAACAATAATGTGAAGATGAGTATTAGGGTTCACATTATATTTTATTTTGGGACATTTAGTACCATAATTTCCAAGCTTTTATTAGAGGGATAGTCCTAAATTAACAAGAAAGCCATTATTTCTGACCTTTGGTGCTAAATTAATTCCATGTAGGGACATATGAGGTCAGACATAGGAACCTAAATTTTGAATTAAAAAAACGAAGGGAAAAAAATGGAATTTATGTGAGAAAAAAATAAAATAAAAGAAGAAAATGGTGACAAGAGGATGACTCATTCACCATTTATTTATACTTTTAGATTATATTTCTCTCTATACCTTTCAACTCAAAATTAAATTAAAAAATATATATTGTTCTTTAGATTAAATACATCTCTATTACTGTAATAATTTTTTTTGATTCATATACTTTAAATTTAAATTTGTGTTTACTTCAATATTTGTACTTTAAAAAACGTATGTTATAGTCTATTAATTTTTTAAAGTGACAATTTTAGGTCATGTTTACAAAAAGTTTAACATATATTTTGTACATAATAAAAATCATTTAATATAAGTTTATTTCTACCTTTCAAAAAATTTAATAAGTGAAGTATTATATCGTATCGATCAAAACGAGTATTTCGAAATTAAAATAAACAAAATTTTTAAGGGATTTTGGCCCCTGTACCAAGACACATGGGACCAGCTACATATATGACCTAATTTAGATAAAATATCATAAAAATAAGGGCTAAAACATGATAGTAAATACAACAAATATTGTACTAAAAAAATTACAACAAATATTAGAAGATATAAATTAATCATTGATTTACAAATTGTTTATCTTTGTAGTACTTTTTAATGTGTTATATTAGTAATTACTTTTTTATTTTTTTAAAATACATCTTTATAAATAGTTTAGAAAATAAAACTACTCAATTCAAATTTATAATGATATGAGAGTAGTAAGCAATATGAACCATGTACATAATTTTTAATTTAATCAAACTTTACCTTTCATCATTCAATATATATGCGATCGTTTTAAAGCTTTTAATATAAAATAACATCATATTCCAAGTATCATCATTAATTATAAATAAAAACCTTGATGAGAGAGAGAGGAGGAGAGAGAAACCAGAGTCATTTTGGTCAATATCTCATAATGTCAATGGCCAAAACATATAGCACAAAGTGGTCCTTTTGGCTTCCCTTTTGACCACCTAATAATATATTGCCCACACCCTAAATTCATACACATCACATCACTTTGCATGCTAACCCAATACCAATTGTTCTTTCTTTGGTTGTATTCTTTTTAAACGCGTGGGGGAAAAATCAACATTAACCTAACTCAATTATAATTAGTACACATTTTTTACCAAGAAATAGATAATTGTATTTAAAAATATAAATTTTTTAATAAATATACTGTTTAATATTATAAACTCATTTTATTTTTGTTAAGATTAGAATACGTAAAACATAATATATTATAAATTATAAGATATAAGTTACACAAAATTTATAACATATATGTTAATAAATTAATTACCGAGGTATCTTAAACAAAATTAATTATTAATGTTTTAAATTGAACTAACTATTAGCTATAAAAAAAAAACTGAACATTTATTTGTGTATACTAGTTTACAAAAAAAAAAAACTTAACCATTTTTAAATTTAGATTCATTTTTAAACCGATACCAAATCATGTTTGAAAATAATGAAATCATTAATACCACCATGTTCTCATTGAATATATTATTTTTAGATTCATGTTTTCATATCACCAATTAAGCGCAACATATATCTATGTATGCCTCGTAAAACTTGTATACCTACACATTACTTATTAGATTTTTTTTTAAAAATAATTTACAAAATAATAAACAATCTAGTTTAAAATGTTTTTTTTCTTTTTGCACGAGAGTTTATAAATTAATAAAATGTTTGTATACTTGGAGACCAAAATATTTATTCTAAAATTATCCCTTTTTTTGTGTTTTCAACCTTACCTAATTTAATAATTATTTGTGATGGAAATAAGTGTAGTTTATTTGATGGCTGAAAATTTGAGATCTCGCATGGTTGAATTTTTAGATCATTTAGAAATATTGTTAGCTTTTAATTCACAAGTTGGGAGTGATACTCATTTTAACATTTTTTCCATCCAAAATTGAATACTTGTTCTTCTACTCATAATTATGTGTTTGAAATATTATAATTTATAATTATACTGCCTAAATAAATGAATCAAAATTTCAACGTGTAATATTTGAAGGGGAAATTAATGATGTTCTGACCAGTTAAATTTTGTATGCATTGACAATTATATTCAAGACTTTTATCTACTACTAGTAAGAAACACGTGCGGTTCACGTGAAATTTCCTAGTTTTTATTTCAACGTTTAAAAATATAAAATTTAATTAAATAGTTAAAATTTATAACATAATTTGGTTTTTTTTCTCTAAATGTTTACCTCACCAAGTTTTTTCATATTTTCAATGTTTATCTCATAAAACAACGTCTCAATAATTCTCATCACCCATTGATGTGGTTAGTGTGACTAAAAGTATTATTCTTCAATTACTTAAATTTCTTTTTGAAAAAAAACACATATTCATGGATTTTTCATCATTTTTTCCCTATACATAACAATAAATAAAAAACATAACAACAAATAAAAGTAAATACAACTTTGTTTCAATTTCTTATTTGAGTCATTGAAAAATAAAATGACAAAAAAAATAGTGAGAGATAGAGATGACAGCCGTTCTTTGCCATGTTTGAGTTCCAGTCCAATTCCTTGCCTTAGCTCATCAGGAATGCCAACCACAACCATGTTCCGATGGATTGTTCCGGCTATTTTCATCACATGATGATCACCTTACCAAGGAGGAGGTCATTGAGAGAGTCTTTGCGCTTATCAAGTGTCATCCCAAAGTGGATCCGTCCAAGGTGATTTGACCTTATCACTCATTTTCACTTTTCTTTTTCCAGTTAATTGAGTCGTTTGGAAAAAAAAATAACTAAAAAAATTGTATTCGATCAAACAACCTAACTAAATATAAGAAAACACAAGACATTGATTAAAGGAGAAAATTTACCTACTGAAAGAGAAAAGAAACTCAAGTTTTGATGAAGAAAAAGTTGGGAGAAAGAGTAAGAAAAAACTCTTTATATAGGTGTAAAAAATAAAAAGTTATGAAACTTTTGAAATTCTTTATTAATTATAATTCAAAATAAGTTATAACTTTTTAACAATAGAAATAAATAGACAAAACTTCATATTCTAACTCTTTATATTCTAACCTTTAAGAGATAGAGTTTATTAGATAGAGAAAATTAATTTGAGAAATGTAAAATTTGTAATAATGGAGATTAAATATTTTAAAAGAAATGAAAAAAAAAAGAAAGCGGCGTGGGAGGGAGAGAAACGGGAGTGAGATAAAATTTTATATTTGAAGGACAAAATTGCCCCAAAAATATCTATGAGAATGTTGAAATTAAAATGGCAAAATAGGGAGAAAAAGTTTCTCCCTATAGCCCATTTTATATATACTATAGATATAGATATAGATATAGATATACATATAGATATAGATATAGATATAGATTAGGAGGATGGTTTCTTAAAAGCTTTTGAAATTTGTCCTTCAATATTAATGTTATTTTTTAATTTTAGTTTAAAGACCCTTCAATTAATTTTTTTTTCCCGATTGAACTCGCTGGAATTATTCTTTTACATGTATATACTTTTAACTACTAGATTTATGTTGTTAAAGCGAGTTAGCTTACATATATCTCTAATCAAAAGGTTGTGAGTTCGATCCTCTATCCCTACATGTTGTACTAAAAAAACTACTAGACTTATGTTTGGATTGGTGCCTATGTCAACTTATTAATGCACATATTCGCAACCACGTTTAATGATAAAATAATGATAATGATCAAAATAGTTACTCTTTAAAGTCCATAATTTAATATGGATGCAATTAAATAGATATTTTAAAAGTCTCGGATGAAATTAGAATATAAAAAAAATTGTTTAACCAAATGTATATATCACACTAATTCTTTTGAATTGTAATATCATATTTCATCATATATAGTAATAATTAAACGAAAAGATAAATTTAAATAATTATAATTACACAAATAAAAAAACAGTATTATAGAAAAATATTTTAAATTATTTATGGTAATATTTTAAACGCTATGAATATTGAATATCATTTCAAAATAATCAGGGATTATTAGAAATATTTCTGCAATTGTAGGGGTGAATTAGTAATTTCACCCCGCTTCAGTGTACGGTGTTCCCAATGCCGTTGATTCATGGTCAGAGGCCGGCCCCATGCCGATATTTTAGGGCTAGGATCGCGAGTAATAAATCTATATATATTCGAGCGCGTCGATTTTGTACAGTTTTATATGTTTCCCGTGTAACAATTTTACCCTCGATCAAATCCCAAAAACCGAGTCAAAGACTAGGCCAAGGCCACAATAAAATCGAAACAGAGAGAGCCCAGTTCATAGTCATCTCTCTCTCTCTCAACGGGATTTTCTCTTTCTAAAAATATTTTGCAACTTCCGCAGTGGAACAAGAAGGACGAAACCCAGAATCGTTGAATAGAGTTTCTAAATCAATTCTGAAGGTCGGGCTTTCATTTCATCCGGCGTAATTTTTGGTGCTTTTAAGTCTGATTTTCTTTCCTTCCCTTTCTTTTTTTGGTGGGTGTTCGTCGATATGATACGTACATTTATTTTGGTCTGATTTTTGTTTTGGGAATTCTGGATTGTGGAGTTAGTCTGAATTTAGTTAGTCGTAGGTCTCAAATTTCACTTCTGTGATCTCATTGGTGTGTTTGCTGAAGATCAATTCTATGGGCTTTATGTGCTTTCTATTTTAGTTTTTTTTTCCTTGGCCCTTTTTGGTGTTTGAGAGCTCTAATGGGGTCGGCTTAGTCTTTGATAATTGATAGTGTAATTTGAAATAGTTCTTGGTTAGTTCGGGATGTTTGATGGAAATCTATTAGAGTTGCCCGCTGCCTGTTGTTTCTTTGTTATAGTATTTTGCAACGGAAGTCAATTCGGTTTTTCATTTTTGATTCCTCATTCTAAGATTGTGTTGAAGCTCAAATAAATTCAGAGTAAGTTTTCCTTCCTGAGACACCATATGTTATTTTTCATAGTGAATACATGATTAGCCTTCTGAAGGCATTTGGGTTTTTCATTTTAGTGCTCTAAATGATATTTGAAGTGATGGGTGTACTTGTTGGAGAAGTACGTGTTACTGCATATTAAGTACTGAAGAAATAGTAACCTATTGCACAGCTTTTGGTTCTGTTTTACGATGCTTGATGTTTGAATTGGTATGGTACCTTGCTAGTTAATTGTCAGTTTTATTGGTTTCTCTAGTGAGTTCGGCAATGCACCGAGTGGGTAGTGCGGGGAATACATCCAATTCTTCTCGCCCCCGCAAGGAGAAGAGGTTAACATATGTTTTGAGTGATGCCAATGATAGTAAGGTAAGGTTTTCCTTCTTATTAGAATTGTATTTTCTTTCTGTTGTACTGATTGATTTTATGCTTTGTCATTGTTGTGATAAGGATTATTATTTGAAATTCAGACCAACTGTACTTTTAATTGGACCACAAAAATTTGTGGATGCTCTCATATGGATATTTATGATATGTCATGCTTTAATGTACCATACCAAAATTTGAAGAATATGTACATGAAATTTGTCTGCTTGTGGAGCATCAAGCTTTTACCAATGTTCACTTCTTTATGATACATGATAAACATAACTTCTGCATTTGAGACGATTACATGGGTTAGCTGGAGCTTCTCATGCTACACTTCATGTAAATTTAACAAAGATGGCCTTGAAAACTGAGGGAAGTGCGACCTTCTTGTTCAATGCTTCAATTCTTTTCCACGAAGGCTTCCAATTTTGTATTAGGTTACTTACTTGGGATTCACTATTATATATGTTCAATGCTTCAATACTTTTAGTCTGTGAAGGACCATATGAGAGAGCTATATCATGCCATGCATCTGCTTATGTTGATCTAGAGTTCTCTATTCTTATTCTTTTCCCATATACATACAATAAAGAACGAGGTTATTAAGTTGAGATATAAGTTAAAGATGTTAAATGGGGCAAACCTTGTATAGCTTTTTCATGTGACATAATCTACAGTTTTCCTTTAGATATGGCTTTTGCTTTCATTTAGGTTCTTCTGAGTCTTTACTAATGTAAATTGAGATGTGAAAGCATTGCACACTTGAATTTCACTGTTTTTTACACCTTTCAATGTATGTAGCATTCTGCCGGTATAAATTGCTTAGCTGTGCCGAAGTCTTCTATCGATGGCTGTGATTACCTTTTTACTGGAAGCCGTGATGGTACGTTGAAAAGATGGTCGCTAGCTGAAGATGCAGCCTCCTGCTCTGCTACCTTCGAGTCTCATGTGGATTGGGTATGTCCATTTTACCTTTTTTTGCCTATATATTTTCTGTTCCTAATAATAGCTGTGTTTTAAATCCATAATGCTTCATGCCTCTTTTGTTTTTTACTAAGTAGTATCTGAGATTTTTTATTTTTATTTTGATAGGAGTAAGATTGAGACGACAATTGTGGATGATATTGTAAATAGCAATTCAAATTAAAAAGTGAAGAATGAGAAAACGTAATTGAAAGTATATTATATCTGAAAGAATAACTCATCAACATCACTTTTCTACTTTTCAGGTTAATGATGCGGTTCTTGTAGGCAATAATAGGCTTGTTTCCTGTTCTTCAGATGGCACTGTTAAGGTTCTTTGGTTTTGATCTTCTTCATCTTCTTTTCCAAAATCTTCTGTCATGTTGTAATATAGTTTGATTGCATTATCTTAATCTATTCTTTTGATCTAAATGCTAGGCATGGAATTGCTTAGATGATGGAGGTTGCACTAAGACTCTGCGTCAGCATTCTGACTATGTGACTTGTCTTGCTGCAGCAGAAAAAAATGTAATTTCTTTGCCAAACTTTGTGTAGACCTTGTATTATGCTCTAATGAAAAGATTGCTCATTGTTATATCCTGTAATGAGTCTGTTGGATTTGTAATGGTGTTTGGAAACTAGTATTTTGTTTTATGTGGGTTGTCTTCTGATCCTATCGTAGTATCATGCATAATAGAGCAATGTTGTTGCATCTGGAGGACTTGGTGGGGAGGTTTTCATATGGGATATGGAGGCTGCATATGCTCCAGCTTCTAAGTCAAGTGATGCAACAGATGATGAGTGTTCAAATGGTGTCGTTGCTACTGGAAATTCACTACCAGTTACAAGTTTACGCACTATCAGCTCTAGTAACAACATTTCTACACACCCAAACCAGTCTCATGGTTATGTTCCAATTGCTGCAAAAGGCCATAAGGAATCAGTTTATGCATTAGCAATGAATGATAGTGGGACGCTTCTTGTCTCTGGTGGAACTGAAAAGGTATATTCGGACTCCTATACACCCTGGTTGATGCATTTAATTATCCCTTGCTTGCAAAATGGAGTCTATTGTGAGGTAGTTAAAATTAGTTGTTTCTTCTCACTTCTTTTAGGTTGTGCGTGTTTGGGACCCAAGAACTGGTTCAAAGACGATGAAGTTAAGAGGACATACAGATAATATTAGGGCTCTCCTTTTGGACTCGACTGGCAGGTTGGTTAGATGGAGTCTTTATTTTCTGTTTCGACAATTTATGTTAGGTGTTGTACTAAACCTAGTTATTATGATAATAAATTTATTGAAAGTGGTTCAATAAATTTCTAGAATGTGCTTCTTTGTCAAGTCAACGTATCATTCATATCTCTATTTGTAAGTGAAGTTTAAATCTGTGGATACATATCATGGATGTGATTTTTCGGGGTTGTTTTAGGAAGTTGAGTTAAAGAACTTTTTTGACACCATTAACCAATCACTACCTCCAATCCACCACCCAATACCAATTATTGGTTCGAACTTGTGTGGTGGGAGAACAATTAGATCTCCATCGAGCCAACAAGCTACAAACCAATTTTGGTGAGTTAAAGATCTTTTTTGAATATTAAAACTCAGTGAAAAGTCGAAAACATGTTTCGGGAATGTTTGTTTTCCCTTGTCTCACAGGTGACTTGTCTATTTAAGAACCACAAGAATTTAGGAATCTAATTTTTTCCTTTTCTTTTGAAAATCATAGCTATATTTTGTAATTTAATGGTTCTTATTGCTTTGTCTATATTATATTTCCTCTTAGGAATTGGTAATAAGATTCTTCATGGTTGCAGGTTCTGCTTATCAGGATCCTCTGATTCCATGATCAGGTAGTCATGCCACTTTATTTACTGTAATGTTTATGTAACTTGCATCAATGTTTGTGTTTTCCTCCTCTCATAAAACTATTACAAGCATCATAATTGAAAGGCATGCAATTTCTCTCCTTGCAGACTGTGGGATCTTGGTCAACAACGATGTGTGCATTCCTATGCAGTACATACTGATTCTGTTTGGGCACTAGCCAGTACACCATCATTTAGTTATGTTTATAGTGGTGGTAGAGACCTCTCTGTAAGTCCCATTTTGTTCTTGTAACATTGTTTTTCTATTTTGATTTAATTTTTATGCTTAGTTTAATCTTTTGATGCCCATTTTTCTTTATGTTCAGCTGTATATAACAGACTTGTCGACGAGAGAGAGTCTTTTGCTTTGCACAGGGGAATATCCCATTCAACAATTGGCATTACATGAAGAGAATATATGGGTTGCAACTACAGATTCTTCAGTTCACAGATGGCCCACTGAAGGGTGTAATCCTCAGAAGGTTTTTGAAAGGGGTGGTTCATTTTTAGCCGGAAATCTATCATTTTCTAGGGCAAGGGCTTCTTTGGAAGGATCTACTCCTGTGAGTAATTAATGTAGTTATGTTTCTGTTTATATTTGCTAAAGCTCTTACTATCTCATTTTTCCTTTTGACTAAGTTGCACATGTACTTATTTCTTCTTTTTGGTGTACTTTGGATATTATTTTTCTGGTCACAACTTGTCTTTTATGGTTGTCAGTTGGGTAGTCTTTTGGTTATTTCTCTGGCTTTTGTGAGCTTTTTGCCTATATTTCATTATATCAATGAAATTTCTTGTTTGTTGTAAAGAAAAAGGTTGCATATGTTCTAGTTCTAGTCTTCCACCACCTTTAAACTGAACTCCAAACTCTGTTGTTGTTGTTGTGTGCTTTATTTATTTATTTTTTGAACGAAATACGAACTTTTCATTGATGAAATGAAAAGAAACAATAATTGTTCAAGGATACAAACTCACGAAAAAGTGAAAAAGAAACGTAAAGACAAAATTACAGAATCTAAACAACAAAATTACAAGGCCAAATAAAAACATCTCAATTGTTAACAATAAGAGAAAGGGAATAATGTGAGAATGGTTCAGAAAGAGAAGACCAATGAGATGCTTTGAGCTTGGCGGATGAGAGACAATCAAACAAAGATCTTCTTTTGCTCTTAAAAATCCTTGAATTCTTTCAAACCAGATTTCTGAGAGAAAACTCTTTACCACATTAATCCACATAAGTATTGTTAGGTGACAAGTGTGTGACTCCACTTAACAATTGAGTCAAATTTGCTTCAGCCCTCAAATAAAAAACCCAACTGATCTTGAACTGATCAAAAGAGAAAACCAGCCTGTTGTGTGCTTTATTTATTTTTATATATTTTAAATGTTCTAAAAAATCAGTGGAAAGAGGTTTCATTAATATGAGTATTTTTGTGCTGATTCTTGGATTTAGAAAACTATATTTCTATACTTGTTTAATGAGATCAAATGGTTCTCCTAAATTGTGTTTTAGGTTACTGTACGTACGTTCAGTCATCCACTACCTTTGCACTAAACTCTGTTGTTGCTTTTTTTTTTTTTGGTAAAAAAAGGAATCATGGAAAAAGTTTTAATCATTATTAGAGTTTTTATGCTGATTCTTGGATTCCATACTTGTTTATTGACGTAAAATGATTTTCTTAAAATTTTTGTAGGTTCCTGTATATAAAGAACCAACCTTCACCATTTCTGGAGCTCCGGCAATTGTGCAGCATGAAATTTTAAATAATAGAAGGCATATCCTGACAAAGGTAATTGTATAATGTATTGCTTGGTGAACTCTACTAGCATATGCCTTTTTGGTGCTATTTTTATGATGCTGATACCTGAAGAATGACGTGACTTTCCGTCACAGGATGCGGCAGGTTCTGTCAAGCTATGGGAGGTTACTAGGGGCATTGTAATTGAGGATTATGGAAAGGTTGCATTAGTCATTCTTTTTCGTTATAATTGTTTCTGCAAAAATTGGTTTATTGTTGTAACTCAAATCAGTGCTTGATGGGGACAAGAAAAAAATAAATGCTTGATGGGGGGATATGGAGGATATGAAATTCCTCCATGAAACTAAGTAACATCTAACATGCTTTAGTAAAATATTTCATTTTGATAACATTTGCATTTTTTGGTTTTAATGTCAACATTTTAGGTCTCATATGAAGAGAAAAAGGAAGAGTTATTCGAGATGGTGAGATTTTTTTATACATTACTTCTGTTATAGTTTTACTATTTTTGTTGTATGGACTGTGACACTTATAATTTGATACGACTCCAGGTCAGTATTCCTGCATGGTTTACTGTGGATACCAGGCTTGGGAGTTTGTCAGTTCATCTGGACACTCCCCAGTGCTTTTCTGCAGAGATGTATTCAGCAGACCTTAATATTACGGGAAAACCAGAGGATGATAAGGTTAAATAATTATTTTAATGTTTTTAGTAATTTTTCGTATCTAGTTGGAGGGCTTTTGTGACTCCTTTAGGCTTTCATTTGGTTTTTGTTCTGTGTCTTGGAGCTCTCTCCATAATACTTATATAGCAATTATGGCTTATCCTTGATCTTTTACCAATTGGTGAGGTTTTCTGGACTCCTTTTGGGTTTAGCCCTTTACAACTCAGTCATATGATGAAATATTAGATACTACTTATTTTCATGACTATCTCATCACATCATCACATCATCACATCAAAGGTGCAAAAATATTCTTGCCGACTGTGAATGGTGACATAAAAACCGTTTTGGGTTAGGTTATAGAAGTTGGATCATTATAGATGGAAGGACTAGCAATTTCATAGCTTTGATGTTTCTTATCTTCCATTGGTTATTAGTAAATAACATTGAGTATTACATTTCTTTATTTTTAAGGTTAATCTGGCACGAGAAACCCTTAAAGGACTTATGGCTCATTGGTTAGCCAAGAGAAAACATAGATTTGGATCACAAGCCTCAGCTAATGGAGAAGTTCTTTCTGGGAAGGATATCAGTACAAGAAGTCTTTCCCATTCAAGGATTGAGGCAGATGGCAGTGCTGAAAATGACTCCATGGTTTATCCTCCATTTGAATTTTCAACAGTTTCTCCTCCCTCAATCATTACGGAGGGTTCCCAAGGTGGACCTTGGAGAAGGAAGATTACTGAATTGGACGGAACAGAAGATGAGAAAGACTTCCCATGGTGGTGTTTGGACTGTGTGTTGAATAATCGCCTACCTCCAAGAGAAAATACCAAGTAAATTTCTAAATTCGGCTCTCACCTTCCTTATTATTGACATTAAGAGAGCATACATTTTTCGTATTTAAACAGATAATAGTTCATGCTTTAAAACTGTGTGCTTAACTTAACACCTAGTCATTTATAACCAATGCTGGAGAGTTGCCGTTACTTCCATTTGTATCCCTCTGTACTTGTAACTCTTTTCTCAAATTTGTTTGGTTGTTGAGATTAAATAATCTTTTGAATATTCAAGTGTGTGTGTGTATTATAAGAAATCAATATTCCAGTTACAGGATAAAGAAAGATTTTGTTTCTAGTCAGCTTTTGTGAAGTGTTCATTTCATTTCAAGTTATTTTTACATGTTGCATTGCTGTGCTACTATATTTCCCATGGTACATGGCTATTGTGCTAAAAGAAATGCAAGTATTTCTTGCATGGCATATGCTGGGGCTGGGTTTTGAACATATTAATAAGGTTAGAGAGTTATATGTAAAAGGAATATTTATTGTGTGTTTGTTAGGTGATATAAATCCATTCTATGTTTCCTTGCACATATATTAATTGATAACACTCCCTGCAGGTGTAGTTTTTATCTACATCCTTGTGAAGGTTCGTCCATTCAGATCTTAACACAAGGAAAACTAAGTGCTCCTCGTATTTTGAGAGTGCATAAGGTATGATTTCTATTTTGTTACTTTTATGCTATATTTTTGGCTTTGCACGACTACTGTCTATTTAGAAACTATGCTCTGTATTTCTTTTCACTATTATTATACCAGCAAATAATATTTGATTCATTTTCCAAGAGCATCGCCCTTGTAAAAAATATGTACATACTTATGGTTTTTCTACCCGTAATTTGCAAGATAACAACGTTCAACCTACTTTATACTTAAAATCTGAAGTATGCAAAGGTAGGCCGCTGTAGGCCAGTAAGACATTCTCTGTTATTTTTTTCCTTTCCTCTTTGTCAACCAATCACCCAGATAAAAGTAATTTAAATAGAATAAAAAATATTTCATTGATTAAATGAAAAAATGCGAAGAACAAAAAT